GAGATGTACAGGTCACTAAAAGGCAGGCAATCACAGGGGCTGCAAGTCTTTCAAAGGGCTGCTAGATCTGTTCGAGATTGACCCGATAGGAAAATGTGTGTCCAGATAATCCTGAGAACATTTCCTTGCGATAATTTTCTTAAATTGGGAGCAGGATGGGTAATCATGTTTGGCTGTATCATCAAGCAACCATCAAATAAAGGAGTTTCATGCAACTCATTTTATACACCAAACCATGGGCAGAAATGGGAAGAAACTGAGAGGACCTTTTTGCCGATACCATAGATAGAAAAAAATCTAATCAGCTGGAGAAGAGATGTTGCAAAAATAAAAGTTACAACCAAGGTTGCATGCTATCCATAATTTGGATGGAAGGATAAGAATGGCAAAGGCAGGCAAAGGTGATCCAGAGAGAAAGAAACCTGGCCCAAACTGTCCTGGTAAACTTTTTTTTTTCTACAATTGATTTTCAAACTGAAACATTGGCAAATCGGGGAGCGCCCCCCACCGAAAAATGTATTTACGTGAATATTCACTCTTATTCCAATCTTAACAAATCACTTAGGTCCCTTCCTTGCTATTCCTCTTTCCAACTCCCTTCAAATTTACATTAATGAAACTTGCCAGTCAATTAAAAATCCAAATAGGCATGACATAAATTCCAATTGCTGCACTGCCAATCTTAGTTTTGGGAAGATGGCCCTGGAGGGAAAGAAGGAAAAGCAAGGATAAGAGAACTCCCATCTCTGACCAATTTTTTTTCCTAATCTATAGGCCTGAGGGTAGATCTTATCTTTTTATAACTAGTTTTTCTTAAAAAAAAATAAACTTTTATAACATTTAACAAATTGAGGCCCCAATAAAACCTACTTCCAGCTACTGGCCAACTACCCAGTGCCTGCTCCTAGCCCCCATGCCTGGGTAGGGGAGTGGGGAGCCAACATTCTCAGCTTTCTTGAAGGCCAACAGGTTGGAGACCATCTATATCCCCAGGGTGTTATTTAAGGCATGTACCAAAAAAGGCCCATTTCCGAGGCCCCACCATATGACACTGCTTCACTGAAGGGACCTGAAACATAACCATCCCACTAGTTTTAGTAATACAGACAGAAATCTTCCAGAATAGCCAGTTTTGCTAATAACCAGAGCCATGGCATGTAGGGCCTTAATGCTGTCAGACAGCACCTGGCTACTCAGAAGCTTCTTGTGAGCCAATGCATCTCAAACAGCAGTGCTGTTACATGGATGCATTGAGGTATACGCAGTTCTACCCATACTGCTGTATTATAGACGAGCTGCAACTTCTGAATACTGTACAAGGGCTGCCCCATGTAAAGCACATTACAATAGTCCAATTGGGAGATGACTCTACAACTTTAGAGTTCCCTCATAGTGTTTCACTGTGGCTTCCTCACACTCCAACTGCCTTCTCAGGATGTCACTGGTTGGCTGGGCTATTCTCAGGCATTGTGTCCCCCACCTGAAAAACTACGCTGTTTGCTGCAGACATCAAGATAGCTGAACACTTAGTGTGCCCTCTCCTTACTCTTTGTTCTGTCCCATTGCCCATTCAGATATCTGGTAATATGATTAACAGAGTTGGAAGGGACCTTGTAAGTCATCTAGTCCAACCCCCCCACCCAAGCAGGAGACCCTACACCATTTCTGATAGATGGCAGTCCAGTCTCTCCTTGAAAGCTTCCACTGATAAAGCTCCCACAACTTCTGAAAGCAAACTGTTCCATTTGTTCTCACTGTCAGAAAAAAATTCCTTATTACTAGGCTGAATCTCCTTGATCAGTTTCCATCCATTATTCCTTGTCTGGCCTTCGGGTGCTGTGGAAAATAGCTTGAACCCTTCCTCAGTCCCTCAAATATTAAAACACTGCTATCATGTCTCCCCTGGTCCTTCTCTCTTCATTAGACCAGCCATGCCCAGTTCTTGGTAATCCTAAACCAGAGGTTGCTTCTCTCCTTTTCTTAGCCTCATAACCCAATTCCTGGTCTTTGTTCTTAAATGATCAGGAGTCTCAGATGAAATGGAAGGGTTGGAGAAAATGAGTCTCTGTACCTGACCTAGAGCACGAATTTTTCAATCTCAGATGAGTAAATGTGAACCTCGTGTCTGGGAGAAAAGCCTGACAGTTTGCAATAATATAAATACAAGCTGACTTCACAACAATCTCCTTTAAGCCATTTGCCAACGTCAGCATTCTGGCTTTTTTTTTTATCCTAGATCCCACCAAAAGCAGGTTATGTGAAATTCAAAAACATTTCGCACACTAAACCAAAAAAATCATGGGTGGGGAATGCTGAGCAAAATAGATTAGATGCCAAATTGAGGTACATTTCTAAATATTTGGTTTAATGTTTATGTCCTAACATACTCTGAATGTTAACTCTATTGGTGTCATTCCAGGCAAATACCAAGGTTACCAAAATGTGGGGCTTACCCTCTTTCCTGACCCTCTCCTGCACCCATATCGGCATAGTATCCTTTCCTGCAGACCCACTTCTCTGTAAACTGTAGGGCAGCAGACCCTCCCTCCATAACTGGCACATAAAATTTTCCACAATACCTAGGAATGATATTGTCAACTACTCCACAAAGTTATGGGAGATTTTATATTTAAAAACATGGCTTGCAACCACACATTGTCTGCTTAGAACAGCCTGAAGAAACCCAACACACATATCACAGGTTTCCTGCTTCTCTTGAGCTGCTCCACATCAGCCAAATTAAAGGGGAAAAACTATAAGATGCTTGCAAAAGCACCTTCTAAACAGACAAATTTCAGGACTCAGCCTCTTAGGTAGTATGTGTAATTTGTTATAATGGAGAAAATGATTCCAATATTAAATAGATTGGATTATAATTCCAACAATCATAGAGCATGGATATCAGGATTTCTCCCACCTAGGGTGCTACAGTTTTGTTAGTCGTAGGTTTGGACGAAGACAATCTATGAATCTTGTCAAGTATTTTGAAAGTTGCATATGTTTTATTCATTGGATCAGTCCCTTCTTCTTATCCCTCTTATCCAAACTTAAATCTGATAATTTTAATTTATTCTCAGAAAACCAGGAGCAGTACAGGAAGGGAATGGAAAGCTGGCCAAGGTCCCCCAGCCTCAATTGCGCAGTCATGAATAAAGGCAGGACAGAACAGCCATTATTTAGCATCAATCATACTTTTTTTTTTTTTTGCACTGCAAAAAGCAATAGAAACACCTGATTGACAGCAAAGGCTTCAGAAAAAAAGTTATGTTTTTGGGTAGAAATACCTGACTGGCTCTTAGTCCTTAGCTCTAGTCTGAGAGTTTCAGCAATATCAGAAACAGCCTCTTGAACCAATCAGAAAAGATGGTATTATAAGCGAAGCCTCCAAGTAACCCCTTGCTCAGAGGTCAGAGAAGATGCCTCCATAGAACAATAATGAGCAACTTTTAAGGACAGGAATGGGCGAGAGGGGTGTTCATCCAGATGTTGGTCATCTAGATCAGGGGTCCCCAACCACCACTCCCCGGACCGGTACCGGTCCGTGGATCATTTTTTACCGGGCCGCAAAGCTTGGGCGCTGCCATCTTGTTTCGACGGCACTTCTGGGTTTTGGGTTGCTTCTGGGTTTTCGGTTGGAAAGTGGCGTTTGAGTGCTCACGCCTTAGTTTCATCGAAGAGCTGGGGGCGGCTTTGAACGAAGAGCCATCCTGATGGCGATGGAGTCTTGCGTTACCCAGGTACTGGTCCGTGGAAGAATAAATAATCGTGAAACTGGTCCCTGGGTCAAAAAAGGTTGGGGGCCACTGATCTAGATAGTACTAGTTCTAGATTTTGAGGTATGAAGGTAGTCCTCGAGTTACAGTCACAACCTCAAAATTTTGTTGCTAAGTGAGAGAGTTGTTAAGTGAGTTTCCCCCCACTTTACAACCATTCTTTCTGCAATTATTAAGTGAATCACTAGATAAGTATTCCACGTTTTTTCTCATACCTAGTCCTTCTAGGCAGTGCAGATCGTCCTTGACTTACAACTGCAATTGAGCCCAACATTTCCGTTGCTAAGTGAAACATTTGTTAAGTGAGTATTCTCCCATTTTACGACCTTTCTTGTTGCAGTTGTTAAATGAATCACTGGAGTTGTGAAGTTAGTCACACGGCTGATAAGTGAACCTGGCTTCCCCATTGCCTTGTCTTGTCAGAAGGTCGCAAAATGGGAGAAATCACATTGGACATTGCAACTGTCATAAATATGAGCCAGCTGCCAAGCGGCTGAATTTTGATCACATGACCATGGGGGGTGGGGTTGCAGTGGTCGTAAGTGCAAAAAATGGTCATTGGTTGTTGTTTTTTCATTGCCATTGTAACTTTGAACGGTCACTAAACAAATGAATAATAATAAATAAAATAATAAATAAACAAGCTGAGGACTACCTGTATTAGATCTAGATATTGAGCAATATTGGCTGCGGTTGCTGGGGAGATATTTCAGCAGAGGTGGTATTCAGCAAGTTCTGACCAGTTCTGGAGAACTGGTAGCGGAAATTTTAAGTAGTTCGGAGAACCGGCAAATACCATCTCTGACTGGCCCTGCCCCCATCTATTCTCTGCCTCCTGAGTCCCAGCTGATCGGCTGGGTCTTCTTTTGTTGCCCTGCACAGGAGAAGAGAGCTGGAAAGCAGGTTAGTGGGGGGGAGGGAATGGGGATTTTGCAGTATCCTTCCCCTGCCACACCTACCAAGCCATGTCATGTCCACCAAGCCACGGCACGCCCACCTAGCTATGCCCACAGAACCGGTAGTAAAAATTTTTGAATCCCACCACTGTATTTCAGTAATACGCTGGGATGGCTACAGATCTCCCCCCGTCCCTGATTCAAAGCCTTTGCCTTCTCACATACAACTGTTCAAATTCTTTCCAAGACCTGCTGAATAGCAGCCGGCCATTCCGGAGGAATCAGAGTGAGGGCCAATTTACATTTAATCAAGTCATGCATCTGCTCTCACCAGGTGACGATTGGTCGCTGCTCAAGACCAACGTGGCAGGAGTCGGACGACGCCTTCGGATCTGTAGGTAAAGAGAGATTAATTACAGTAACCGCTTGTAAGGAACTTATTCTAAATGTCCAAAAAAAAAAAAAAACCTTCCCCACAGGCAGAAGAGAGGGACTGTTATTTGTCAGCAACTCCGAAGACAGTTCTTTATGGTAGATAGCATGCTAGAGATAGGCAGCACTACCAATGTTTTTGTACAGATGTTTTTTTAGACTGTCATTCTCACAAGACACCGTCAATGGTAAAGTAAACTATGAGAACAGGGAATTTGATTCCGACTGGGAATCTGATGGATGTGTTGAACCGCTATTTCATTATTTCTGTCCATAAAGGCAACATGATGGGAAATAGACACCAAAGATATTTGGACACTTATATTCCCCACCCATTATGCTGGTGACGTTCTTTTCCAACTATTTGACAATGGAATAGAAAAAACGTAATGGTGCCATCATCATCCTGGAGGACCACAAATAGCATGAATAAAATTAACAGAATCATTCTGAGCAAACTAGGTTGAACAAAACAATCCTTTCTCACAAAGGTGAGATTTAATCCTTGGGAACATGATATTAGCCTTTTGAGATAGTCCAGACAGGAAAGCAAATCATGAGTATTTATACTACTTTTATTGTAAAGTTAGTTAGAGTAACAGCAACCTGCAAGTCTGAAAGAACTTTACCTTTCAAAGCTCTAAGGGAGAGTTGCTTCTGAGATGTTTTCTTCATCCTCATCCCTCTTTGGGACTCAAATTTCTCTTATCTGACTATTGCCAGCTATGATTCTTCCTCTTTTCTCCCAAGGTTATTCTCACAGCCCAACACATCACAATACATTTCCTTTTCAGCACTTCTTCTTAGATTGCAATTACCTCCAAACTCCAGACAGCCCAGCGATGCTGTCACCCTCATATGTCTTAAGGAAGACCATGTGTTTCAAGTCCTTCTTCCTCTCACTCAGTTCGGCCACGTTGGGGGGTGATGAACCAGGAAGTGTATCAGTTGCTGGCTTTTGAGATAAGACCTCTGACTGAGCTGAAGGAAAAAGTTCTGGATAGAATAGCTAAGAGCTCCCTAATTGAGCAAATTGGGGATGTTGGACAGTGATGACCATAGCAAGCCATGCTTTCTTCAAAAATAAAGAAATGCTACTTTTTCGTAATTATTTTCTGTCTTAAGAGAATTATTGGAAGAAAGGTGCTGCTAAGAATCCCTCTAACCGGTTTTGAACACAACCCAGTTGTGTTAAAGTTGGTCTAGTCTGTGTGTGGCTAGGACCCCCTCCAATATCCTTCAAGGACCAGGGAAAAAACATCTCTTTCGATTCCAACCTGAGAAATCAGTAAGTGTGCTTTGCACTCCTTTCCGATTTTAAGGATGTTCAGCTCGATATTGTTAAATCCGTAATTGCTGCTTTTAGCTGTTGTTTTGAAGCCTCTGGTTTCTAGCCCTTGTGAAGCATTTCGGTTTATTATTGGGTGTGTTGTTTGCTGTATTGGATATACTACAGTGTTGTTGTTGTTGTTTTAATTAGATAAATAAACAGAGCACTTCATTAACATCAATGGCCCTCCATGGAATATATCTACACATACCCAGCCGTAATTGGAACAGCAGAAATCCTTTTTGATAGTGGCCCCACTTCTACCGTATTTCCAGGGTGACCTTTTTTATATCTCAAACATCTATGCAGATATTTTGATTTGATCTCTTTTTTAACCCGCTGTGGCTGAGGCGGCGTTGATGCTATGCCCCAAATGTACTACTGGGCTGAAGTGTTTATTGCTTTATTATGTTACTGGTTTGTTCACCGGGTATATTTTTAGCCTTGGCCGTTTCCTTTTTTAGGAAGCTGCTGCACAGACATTCGGTGCAGTCTTACCTTGTGCAACCAAATATCCAAAGGAGGATGGCAGAGGAAGGAGGGGAGGAGGAGGAGGATGAAGTTCTTTGCTGCTAAAAAGCCTCACATCTGGGGCGCGTGATCCACAGGCAGGGATGGAATAAAAATATGGGCCATACACGCAATTAATCGATGAAATATTCATAGCTCCAGCCGCCTCCCCCTCCTCCTATTTCCCACATAGCCGCATCTATTTTTCATGCAGCTCTCCACATCTCAACCAGACTAACTGGAGACCTCATGCCAGAAATATAGTTCTCAACCGGCTTTCAGTCTTTCCTCTAGTCCCAATCTTATTGCGGGGGCTGCTGATGGGCTGAAATTGAGGGGAGATCATTGCCACCTAGGTTTCTCTGCTGCTGCTTTTGGGGTGGGGAACATAAAGAGCTTCTATATTCCAATGGAAAGGAGTGCCTCACTTCTCCCATTTTAAAGCTATGGATAGCTTAAGGAGCTCTAAGTCAGAGGTGGGAGAACTGCGGCCCCTTTAGGACATGTGGACTTCAACTCCCAGAATTCCTGAGCCAGCATGGCTGGCTCTGGAATTCTGGGAGTTGAAGTCCACATGTCATAAAAAGGCCATAACTCCCCACCCCTGCTCGAAGTCCTCCCAAACACTAGGCTTCAACTGGTTATGAAGTGAACCCCTACACAGAGCAATGATCTTGAGTTCTTCCTGAAAATAAAATTTAAAAAAGGACTGGTAATTACAGTATAAACTACTGGAGTTATATGACCTGCATGTCTTCCAGCCCAAAAGGATCCCTCCCTGTTTGCTCATGGGAAACTGAACAACAGAAGTCAGGGTGAAATGCATTTTTCTCCCTTCCCTTCTTTGGGTAAGGAAGGTTATCCTTACTACTGGCAGAAAATAGCTATCTGGCACTGGAAAGGTAGCAAAAGAGTAAAATGGCAGCCAATACAGGGGAGAGCTTTTCCATTAAGGATTTCCAGCTGGCAGGAGGTGTGTTTATTGCCATATTTTTGGGGGGGGAGGGGGACAGTATCCCCCCACTAGAGGCTCAGCAGCCTCTGTTGTGTAATGACGTTTCGGCAGATTTTGTTTAGGCAGCTGCCGCCTTTGGAGGGATCCCCAGTTGCCAGCTGTTATCCTCATTATTAACACGCAGTGGGGGAGGCTTCCAGCTAGATTATGCTAGCCATTAGAGTCCCCTGGCACAGAGTAGAGCAACTGCTCCTATCCGGAAGAGCCACCCAAAGCCTCCTGAACACTGATCATGCTCCTGTGCAGGGATCTTGCTGGGCTGTACCACTGAATGCCTTAGTTAAAAATGCAGGTATGAATTAAAAATGCAGACGTTAATTAAAGATAAAGCAAAAAAGAAATACTGTTCTATTTTATTTATTGATTTGATTTGATTTGTCAATCGCTTACAAGATAATAGGTATAAGCATAAAGATGAGCAAGAATACAGGAAATAGGTACTAATAAAAGGGGACAATAGGACAGGGACGGGAGGCACGATGGTGCACTTACGCACGCCCCTTACAGACCTCTCATACCCTATTCCTGTCATACCCTATTCCAGGAGTGTCAAACTCAATTTCACGGAGGGCCACATCAGGGGTGTGTTTGACTTTGGGGGACTGGGAGGGCGTGGCCAGGATGGGCGTGGCCAGGGTGGCCATGACCAGTTCAACATCACTCATTGAGGCTCTTTTTTTGGCTGCGACAGCCTCCGGCAACCCTTTACCAGCAAAAACAGAGCCACGATGGCCTCTCTGGGCTACATTTTTGTTGGCAGAGAGCTTCCAGAGGCTGTCGCGGATGAAAATGAATCCAGGGCAGGCCATGCGCAGCCTCTCTGACCTCCATTTTTGCTGCCAGAGAGCTGCAGGAGGCTGTCATGGCCAAAAACAGAGCCCAGGAAGGCCACACATAGCCCTCCTGTACTGTTTTCACTGGCAGAGGCACCACAGGCCAGATCTAAGCCGGATTCAGAATTAGGAGAGCCCAAGTGAACAAATGCTAGGTGGCCTAGAGGTGGAGCTCTTGCATCACAATCAGGAGGCTGTGAGTTTGATCCTAGGTAGAGGCTGATATTTGCTCCTGCTTGAACAGGGGGTTGGACTCCATGACCTCGAAGGTCCCTTCCAACTCTGTTATTCTATAATGTAAAGGTCTCATATTTTTGCAATACAGAGATAAGAGAGCTGTCCCTACTTTAGAGGGTTGTTGTCGTAAGGATCTTTTGCATTTAATCTGCTGCTATGCACCATGTTAAGACTGAGACGGGGCACCATAGGGAGAATGAAGGAAAATGCACTCACAAGGACTTTCCGGCCTCTTGATACCTGTCCTGAGCACACCGCTCAAAAAGATTCCACAAATGATCAGGAAAATTTTTGAATAGTGAATGGCTGAATTGTAAGGAGATTGCCAAGAGAGAGAAATATAAAAAAAAATTGAGCACTGGCTTTGCTCTACTCAGATTAGTTCTAATTCAAGCTAGTCTCTGCATAAGGGGAAATACATGGTTGGAGGGGTGGAAATGGAGAGGAATGATTAATTATAGACACACACATCAACAAAGAGGGGTTTGAAGAAACCAAACTGTCCTGTTTCGCTGAGATTCTCCATCAACATCCCTCATGATCCAAAACTCTCTTATGTTTATGTCTTAAGTGTGTACATTTTGTTCATGCATTGCAAGAGTGAGAACAATTTCCTTTAAAATTTTGTTTTCAGTGGCTACATACAACCAACCAAAGTTAGTAAGAAGAGGCCCTGAACAACCAAAAGCTCTTACTAGGCCTGTAAGCAGACTGATCAATTAAGCTCAAGCTTTGCCAATCCATTACACTGTAAAAGGGGCATCTTTAATTGTTACTGTTAGCTTATCCAAAGTTTAATTGCACCTGTTTTAATCATCTCCCTTGAACTGATTGAAAATCAAGGTGCCATTATGAGACTGTCCTCTAACTTAAACAGCATGATGTTGAAGAACCTCAGAGTTCCCCTCTCCCCAAAAATCTAGAGTTACCTGAAACCCTTTCTGTACATTATTCTATTGTAGTGAGATGCTTCTCGGGGGTCCCATAGGATTATAGGTGATATTTTACAAAAATATGCATATTTATGCTATTGTG